CTACAAAGTGAAACCGGCTGGTGAATCAGGCTAGGAAAGTTACACAGTGCCACTTTAATAATACAGGCCTACAATTTACACTTTCTCCATCTTTAACAGTGATCACACAACCAATCTTGTGGCTTCAGAAATCCAGATGTCCATGTATTTAGCTCCTCAGTAATTACAGCACCTGGCTGTTATCTGCTCACAGTCTCTAAAGGAGTGACTGTACCTTTTATCTGGGGACTGCACTGGACAGTTACAAGAATGGCTTTCTGATGGTGTGGAGCGATATGTGATTGGCAAGACAACGATGTGGTCTTTCTGTTTTCTCTTGGTCCGATAAGTGCAGGACAAAACAGACAAACCCAACCAACACCTCTGAAAATTCAACTGTTAATACAAGTCGATTACATGAGAAGTATCAAATCCCAGTATTCTTCATTCAACTGAGTTATGACATCAATCAATGTTTTACCCACTGAAATGTTTTATTGCAAATGGTTGAATGAAACGCCTGTCTTCTTTGTCACTTTGCTGTTATGCCAAGGATTTTCTTGCTTTCAACCAAATCAATAGAAGACAGTAAAAGACTAATTGTAAGGCAGATATAAAAGATTAGAAAAGAAGCATGAAGGATTCACTGACGCACTCATGTGAAAGGTAAAAATAAAAATGTCATAGAAGAATGGAGTAGAGGTGGGTGGACAACCAGCAGTGGAAACTTGAGAAAAAGCCATAAAATGTAGACCTATGAATATGGCCTACATTTACACTTAAAGCTACATTACTCAGTTTACTCTGGGTTATACTTATACTAAGATACTTTATTGAGGAGAAATGAAATGTACTCAAATACAACAATAACACTGGGTACCTTATCTTTAAGACAAAATTCTGGATTCATTTATTTTTGTAATTTGTGTTGCGTTTTGAAATCAGAAGTTATTTATTTGATGAGAAAAATGCACAAAGAAAACTAATACAAAAGCAATATATTGTATGAAAGCTTTAGCAAAACAAGAAGTTTCCACCTGCAGTTCCTGTTAGTTACAAAATGACAACTACATTATATCACAATTTAGTCATTCAGATCATGATGTGCATTGCCATAACTTCCTACTTATTTTCTCTGTTGCCATGGTTATGAAATAATCTTAAATAGGAAGCGGTATACTGAGTGCAACAAATTGAAATTAAAATTGAAAAAAAAAACAAAAAACTTTGGTTGCACTTCACTCCCACGACGGTCCACGAATGAGTCACTGGTCTGTGTGATGGAGAGCTTCAACTGCCAGCGTCATCCAAATGCACAATCAGCCAATGAGCTGCGTGGGACCTCTCTCTTCTATTTTCTGGGACATGTTAATTATTTCTGCAAAATGTATTCAGACTTATTCACAGAACTAAACAACAGATACAAACAAGTGCGCACAGATGTTACTTTAAGATCAAAATCGTCTCTTCTTTTACTCAGTTGGACCAGTGGTGAAGCCTCTTATAAAAGAAAATCAGTAACATTACATTTGCCCCTTTGCATGTGCTCTTTTGTCATCCAGGTTCATTCATGATTTCTGTACACTTCCTGCTGTGGTTACCTCTTGTAAAAACATAATGGCACTCTTCTAATCTCTCTCCCCACAAGTGCTGCTGTGAGTAATGCTCCAGTGTTCAACAATAGTTTCTTATGTGTGTGTGTATCTGCAATTATTACATGACCTTTTCTCCCACTTCTACTTCCTATTGATTGTGAAAACAGTCTTGGATTAATAATTCACTAAACAGTAGGAGTTTTGCTCTTGCCATTGGCAATCCTGCCAAAATACGTGTTTTGTTCTTTTGTCAGAATCAAAACAACTGTGTCCGTAGTCCAGTCGACGAACAAACCTGTGATATGATTTTGCTGCATGGCTTGTTGACCTGGTCACTTTGTCTGTTGGTTGAAACTACATTGGAACACTATTGATCACATCTTAAAGAAAGGCTTAAATCCAAGAGACACTCATGTAAGCATGTAGTTGAGCTTGCACCGTTTTTGTATTTTTAATTGTAGACACTGTTCTACATTTCAGCAAAATGTGTCCTACTACCCTAAGATAGTACTCAGCTTTTTATTTCATTGAGGTCAGCAAACAAAAAAGGGATGGGGTGCCAAAAGTATTTTGATCATCATAACAACATAAATCTAAGATCTAAGACAGTGAATGCTGATATATGCTGATCATTCTCACTGCATTTAACCATCTGCTACAAGAACCCTGTGTCACTCTATAATGTCTGTCATCCAGGTTAAGATCAAATATGATTCATAGACCATCTTTCCATCAAGTACAATTTCTGACGTGTGAAAAGATTTACCTCTACATGGTAAAATCTTGTACTTGGTAAATGTTCCTGTAATGTTCAGTGAAAGTTCCCCTTGAAGTTTTTTGACAGCGTTTAGTGCACGCTCTCAGGGCATGGCCTTTTCTCCGACTGAGGAGGAGTGCAGTGGTTTGAGGTCCTACTGGGAGATACAGCCGGACGCTTTATTACAGCTCTATCTCCTCTCGACACTCACTGCCATCCAAGTCATTAGACGCCAGAGTGGCTGCTCAAGAGAGCACTGGAGCACGGAGATAGTCCGACACCGAAAGCAGGGCCGAGAGGGGGTGTGCCCACTGAACCACGCTAGACCTGATGGGCCAAATATTCAGTGTACTCAAGAAACTGTATCATGCACTCTCACATACTTTATCAAAACTTGGGATCAGCACAGATGGTATGTTGTACACTGCAGATGGTCTTGAATATAACCCTTGATGTTTGCAAGTGTTACATAAGGTTTTAGTTTATTTATTTTTCATGGAACATATAGAATATACCCTAAAAAAAAAAAGAAAACATGCTGGTGCTCTTCTACCTGCTTGTCTCTTGGGAGATGTTTGAGTGGAATGTTCAACCCTGACAACGTAAACTTGTCTTGCATTTATTCAGGTGTTCTCCACAGATCTGACCTGCTTGACTCCATGGTGATAGATGAGTTTAATAATGCCACATTTTGGGATATTGCAAAGCAGTAATATCTATTGTGACATGCAGGTGACGTACCTATTCAAAGATTGTATTCACATTAAACTCAGAAAAGGGCAGGAGAGGGGCAGTTAATATAAAATAGGTCAGGATGTCATCATTTAAACTAAGAACTTACATTTACTCTATTTATTTGTTTATTTATTTATTTATGACAATAGCAAACGGGTTGATGAGAGTTGGAAAAAAGGTGTGTGCATTGGTCATGAATAATTTGTGTGGCCTCATGCATCTCTTCCACTCATTTTGACCCCTCCCACCCCCCCGTCCCCGCACACAACACCGGCCCTCTCCTCGTGTCAGGTCCCCAGAGCATTTCCAATAGCTTTGTCTCTCAATTGAACCACATTTTCTGCTTGAGAGCATCTCAGACCAGGGTGACTTTGTGTGAGCAAAGACACAGGGATCAAGTCAGGAGTTCAATTTCCATTTTCTTTCAGTGATACCTTCAGAATGTCTGAGGGCAAAATCACAGCACAATGAGTTTTGATTGTTTATTTTCAAGAAGAAACAGTGAAAATACTTTATGCATTCAGCTTGTCAAAGCATCAATACATATATCCTCATCATTATAGGTAAATAATAGCTAAAACTATTCAAGTACAAATCTACAACTAAGCTATACTACTTGAATTGTATGTATGATGAAAATATATTTGTGTGTCTGCAAAACCCTGTTGTTGATACCGCTATTGCTATTTCCAGTATAAAATTGTATAAAATCTGTACTCAAATTGACTGTTGACAAAAGTTCACACTCTTATTTATGTTAATTATCACCATATTTTGCCTGATTGGTGTAAAGCTGCCATATAAAAGCATAGGATTTAAATCAAATATTGAACTATTCTACATATTGGTTAGTGTATATAACCCTCTATAACAGTTTGTAAATCTTATCTTAAACATTTACTGACACTGGCATGAAGTATAGTCCAGGGGTCCAATGGCCGTTATGCATAACATTATGGACTGGGGCTCTGGCTGTTGAACACTGACCTAAAATCAATGGCAGATCCCGACCAGCAGGGAGTACGGGACTAGTTGGGCCTCTCCAGACGATCAATGTCCTCATTGATCAGGTGCGTCCCGGGGGAGAGGAGGACAGTGGCATTAGAGTGATTCACATCTTCACTCAGAGCAGACTTAGGACTTAATAGAGCTGTGTGTTCCTCTGGCAGCTTTAGCAGAGGGGGGTTGTAACTGCCTACATTTACAACCTTAAATTACCTTAAATAAACATACTTACATTTACTACTCAGAAAAGCTTTCACTAAACGGGACACAATGGGCAGTGCTTTTCTATAAACACTAAGATGAGCAATAAACAGCTAATTTATTGCAATGCACATTTTCAAGTTTGAATTAATGTATGAACTGTTGTAAAATAGTTTTGCCCATCATGTCATCTCAATTTCAGCTGTGTAGAACCGCAGTTTGTGAATGAAAATCAACACGCTGCATCATTTGACACACATGTTGAAATCTTGACTAGTCATGTGCGCCTTGCTGATCAGCTTTCTGTCAATCAGTGTCTCAGATTTGGACATAAAACTCTTTCAACTGATTGGAGCTCTCCCATAAGTGACCTTTCAACAGTTTGACACCGTTCTCCTGGATGATGTCTGTCACAACACAGAAATTCGATCACAACAGCACTTAACCCATGCAGCCTTTAAAGGGGACATATTGTGCTTTTTCAGGTATTTAGTTTTGAACTTTTTGAATAAAATAGATCATTATTTTACATTTTGTACAATGCAAACAGTGATAAAATCTAAAACGACTTGATAATAGCAATGGGACAGCTTACTTCCTGTTTAAAACTTTGACTCACCAAAGCAGAATTTTTTTTGTTTCTCATTTTTGGAAAATGGCTGAGCCTTTTTAACTTGTGTGTATATGACTCAGAGTCTTAATCGTTGATATAATCACACGTGGGCGGGTGTGGTGGACCTCTGCCATCACTCCACAGTGTCAGTATTATTTCATTTAATTTCATTTACATTAAGTTAATTACATCACACATTATTTAATTCCTTTATTTAGACTTGTATTCAAATTTGGGTGCACATATTTTAGTATAAGAATTATTTACTTACACTTGTTCTTTTTTGTTTTGTTCGAGTGGCCAGACAGAGGAACCTCGGCAGAGACCATCAAAGCTGAACAAAGGGGGGGAGCACCATTTTTAGTTTTGCTAAGTTTGTTTGTCTAGTTTGTTTAAGGTCACTTTATTATCACTTATTGTTTTCTGTGTTATACTTATTTGCCTTTTTGTTTTTTTGATTAAGTTAGTAATTTTAGTTCATTATTTAGTGTAATTCACCCCTCTTGTGTTCAGTTTTAGTTGGTCCTCTGGTATTTAAACTCACATGTTCCTTTGTCAAGTTGGGTTAGTTTTGTTCTGTTCAATTGAGCCCGGGTTTTTTGTTTTTTTGTTAATGAGTTACCAAATCTGAGCCTTTGTTAAATCTGTATTTTTATTTTATTAAATTTAAACTTATTTTTATACCTTGTCTTTGCCTTTCTGTTTGGTCCACTACAGCGGGGATACGGGGTAGGTGAAAACAGACATTTTCTGAGCACTCAAGTTTTAAATGCAGGATTACTCAAACATGTATGAATCAATCAAAACACAACTCTGAGTGATCTAATGATGAGGGAAACCATTATAGTGTGGTTATAAGCTCATAAAGGTAAATTTTGTATAATTTCTCATTTAACTTTCTTTCACACTGTGTACATGGAGTAGTATATATAACTTTTTTTTTTTTACATACGAGATTTCTTTTTCTTGTTTTACTAAAAAGAAAGCCTCTAATAAATGATTTCTGATTGCACTGTAAAGCACGCTTAAAGGGATAGAAACACTACTATTACATGAAGAAAAAAAAAACTTTAACTTGCAGCTGCACATTCTGTATGCAATTCAAACATTAAAGGGCTGTATCACATATTTCTCTCTTCAGTTGTAATCCTTTAGTCTAGCACTTCTGGCTCAGCATCCATGCAGGTCTCCCATGGGTTGCGGGGCATGTGCGGCATAGAGATGACCAGCAGGGCGGCGCCACTGAGAATGAGAAGGGTGAAGGCGGCACAGGCACAGGTGAAGGACCACGAGTAGTAGTATTCAATCCAGATGGTCTCGTCACTGGCAATCATTCTCTTGACAGACTGGCGCATCACCTCCACCGAAATGATGATGCAGAGGCCTGTGAAGGAAAGCAGCTGTGAGGTGAGAGGTGCCATGACAACTGTTTCAAAACACACAGCGCCATGATGGAAATGTCAAAACTCTGGGTTGTATTTTTACATTGCCTTGGACTAAGGTACTTCCGTATGTGATTGGTGTGTTTGAGTGACTAATAAAATGTGGGAGTTGACTGGCAGGTCCTGCATTTACTTCATTAATTATTAGGTAAGTGTAGTCTGAGTCGATTTCTGGGTGTTTATAGTGTTTAGTGATGGGAACAGTGACAGTAACAATTTTAGAGCCTGTCATTGCAAACTTTTTCGTACTTTCAGTAACATATTATTCTCAATTCATCTCATAACATAATTCTTGCTGTTGATGACTGTTCTTCCAACTTGTTTTTATATTCTACCGTCTTGTTGTCTTCAAACTAAACTTTGTGCACACTTTCTCCAAAATTAAAAAAAAAAAACTAACTTGAGAGGTCATAGCCATCACATCTCATTTACTGATCCTGAAATCCTCTATCAGGCCTTGTCACCTTCAAATGACGAGTGAAAAATCATCTTTGTCATGTTTTAAATGAGCTGCACAGGTACCATCCCGTGTGTGTATGACCATGACACTCTATTAGTTACACTGAGAGGCCAGAGATGCCCTGCGCCGCGTGAGTTTGACCTGCGAAAGCAAAGAACATCCCAGCAGGCCTCAGCAGGTAGTCACGGCCCTTTCCAAACGAGAAGACCACACAGAGTGTGCCCAGGATCATGAAGAACAGGCTGAAGATGGCGATGGCTGCAGCAGAGATATTGTACTCTGAGGGGAAAGAGGAAAAGGAGATGTAAAATGTTTTGTAAAAGTACAGTTGTCACTAAGTTAAACTAAACTAAGAGTGATTTGGTGACTTGGGGGCACTTTGCCAGTGATTTTCCCATTAGGAAGATATTCGTTGTAATATTGGAACTGGAAAAATTTAATTTCCAACTAAACTAGTGGTACTCTGGCTCCCTGAAGTCTATGTCAAAGCTTTTTATAGAGTGAATTTAAAATAATATCTTTCTATTTTTGAGCCCATATTGTATTTTTCAACACTAATTAAACTATCAATGTATGGTAAATGTAGGCGTTCATTCTATAATATTATACATTCATTGTGAAATTTAAGAAGATATCCAAAATAAAAATCATGCAAGAGCCTAAAATGGCTGCTGAAAAAGCTAGTACTTTGAGAGAGACAGAGTAAGACAAAGTGACAACAGTGAGTGGGACGCGGCATACGGAGGCCGGCATTACCGCTTACACATAATTGTTTCCAAATTGCACACAGGCAAGTTATGACACAGATAATTAGCCCTTTAATTAGCCTCACTTAAAAAACAACAGTCATTTATCCAGACTCAGCTCACATCATCTCCCTGAGTCTGCCCACCTCCATATTGTAGAGCTGAGCAGATAAAGAGGATCTGATCTGCCGTAGCATTCAAACACTCACACTGTGAATGAAATGACTCTGACTGGGCTCTGTTTCATTTCACATCTGAGGTGGAGGAATAACTCTGGGTGGAGAATCGGCACTCTCAGACATGCTGCGGTGCCATGGTCCCCTTATGACCAATGAAATATTTGCTATTTTGTCATTATTTTCTGTTGAGTAATATCATTTGTCTGTTAAATCTTTTTATCTATAGTTATTCTATTACACTGGTTAGTCTAGTGAAATAATATACTTTTAAATATGCTGTATTTATGTCAATTTTTAGAGGTATGGCAACAACACCTTAGACTTTAACGTAAACAATGAATGAGCCATGAATTAACTTTAACTGCTTGACTACTGCTGGTGAAAATATCTACAATAATTTTGTGTTCTAACTCTAAGTAGTTTTAAATATCTATTGATTTACTTGTATGCAAACATGTAAATAGTTCAGAGTGTTGATGTAATCTCTGTCTCCAGTACCATAGATGCATCAAAGTAAAATCAAAGTAGAATCAGAAAGTTTTGTCAGTGAACAAACTTCACAAATTAGAATCTAGCTTCAATATTATGGTGCAACATTAAACAAAGAATAATAATATAAACATTAAATAAGATGCATTAAATAAGATAAAAATAGACTTTGCTATAAACAAAGAATAGTATGTGTTAAGGCCATTTTTGTCCTACATTTGGTTCAAGGTGTTTGGGGTGGAGCCTTGGGGGGTGACCATGTGAACCAGATATGTTGTGTAATCTTCATTTATGGAATCTACATCTTTAATTAAACCTCATAACCAATATTTTGTAAGTTTGGACATTGAATCTTTCCATTTTCATCTTAAACACATGAGTCAATCTAAAGCCACACAGCCCTCACAGCTATAGTGGCAAACTCTGGAGGTAAACTGCCACTACAGTATGGGCAGAAGATTGAAGATAAAGCATGTTATTTTTCTGTTGTTAAAATATTATTAGGAAATACTCTTTTTGAAATGTGTTGCAAGTTCTCTATATTATTTAATTGTTTCAAATGAAATTTCAGCATTTTTCATCAATCACCAAACTGAACATACACCATTGCTTTTTCTGTGGATTACTGAGATGAATACATTCCTCATACAAAGCTCTTAAGTATTGTTATGTTCCCTTTTCTTTAAAATTGCTGCCTTTATTTCCTTATCAGACAGAGTGTGAGATGGCGCTCACCTTTTTGTGTCTTTACTTCAAAAACTTCAGCCTCTTCTCCCGATGTGAAGTGTTTAAAATAAGAGCAGTTTTTTGCTGAAAGTTGGACAAAGAGAGAGAGACACAGAGAGAGTTTAGTATTTGATAATCCTTTTTACACAGAAATGATGTTGTCTCTGCTGGTCCCTCTGTTAGCCTGTATTTTAGTGACTAATATAAAGTGGGTGTTGATTGGCAGGTTTCATCAGGGCTGTAACTGGTTCTCCTCTTTTGGGATGAGTACTTTTAAAATAACACATTGCCAGATAACTACTGAATATATTTTAAGTATCCTTTATGCTTCCTTCAGTGCCACTGGAGAAACCTCAATGTAATATCATACTTAATCTAATCTAGGCAAAGCAATTACAGCTCCATAAAGACACTGGACCCACTATACCAGCAAAGTTATGCATTGCAACGTTAAAGGTGCACTGTGTAACTTTTCTGGTAGGGCCACAAGATTGTTTCCATGGAGATATTATTGCTTTTCCAGAAAGGTTTCACAGTATGCCATTAAACTCGTCTATGCAGCCTTTATTCAATTACATGTTACTCAGTTACACTCAGTTACACTGCTCAAGAAACATGCATTCCCACAATGAGTGAGCTTACCTCTCCACAGATCTGAACTGTAACCTGGAGGCATTGTGGACTTGTCTCACTGAAACTAATGCCATACTGTGGGACATTCTACATCAGTGTTTCCCAAACTTTTTTTCTGGGGATCCGTATTTTAAAAGTCACAAACCTTCACGACCCAAGTCAATAGACATTATTCGTAAATCACAAGATAAAGGTGGATTTGACCATTATTGAACATTAATGAGGATATTTTATTGTTGACTGAGTGATCGTGTCTCTCTGAACAATTAGTATTTACTCAAGTTTTTAAACAATGAAAAAAAATAACCAGCAATAAAAGGATACATAAACACCTATTTGGACATTAAATGTAGCCCATTTCTTTTTCTTTTCAACTTTCAATTGAACCAGCAATATAGGAACAAAATAGTCAATAAAATAATTACAAAAAGATTACAAATTATACAAAACATGTCTGAACATTCCAACATTTCTTGTGAGATAGGTGGGCCTGTCTGCGTTTTTATAAGGCGTTCCAGTCCGGGGTGCAGGAGGAGAGCACCACACGCATATCAGGCAACCCAAAAAAATCTCTTGCGACCCACCTGAGGGTTGCAACCCAGCCTTTGGGAAACAGTGTTCTAGACAAAGCAGTAACATTTCTATGAAAACAAGCAGGTGACGAACCCTCCACCAGAAAGTTACATAGTGTACCTTTAAAAGAACACAACATTTCGCAACATTGAATCCCCAAAAGAATAAGTCACTAACAGAATAATCTGAGTCCATTCCCTCGTGATTTTATACTCATAGGACTTGAACACTTCTGAATCAGCTGCTCTGTGTTTGTCGTTCGCGTGTTTACTTCCCCAAACCATTTCACACCTCCTGCTACAGCAGTAATAGCCTGGCTGTGTTTCCCTGTTTTCCTGTCCCCAAATGTCACTCCTTTGACCACAATCTGCAGCACCGTCGAGCACCACTGCCCGCTGCAGTCATTTCTGGAGCATCTATCTATCCATCTATATTTGTTTCAACTGCTAAGTGTTGAAAATGACATTAAAGGCCGTAGTATCCTTTTCCACTAGCGTGTTCAGGTTGAGATTAAACCCATAAAGTAGATAGGTGCTCTCAGTGTGCACATAGGAACAGTCAGTGTGTTGATATGGGGGTGGGGGGTGTTTGTCATAACATTGTGGGGACTGTATAAAGTCATTTGTGGCCTTTTGCTGACCAAAAATCAGGCTGCTGTGAGGCGCATCCTTCAAAGTTGGATCAACATCATGAATTCAAGTTAACAAATCAACTGACTTCTGTGTTAGAAAACTGCAGTGCCCAATGGGAGCTGTGGGAGCTTAAACCCAGTTTCATATTTTTTTCATTACTGAGATAATTATTCTTATGTTGTCTGATGTAATATTTACTTTAAATGCCTGATTTTTCGTAATTTGGGTCATTCTTTATGGTTACCATGATTATTTATTGAGTATTTGCTTAAACATTATTTGATCTATTTACATTTTACTTCCAATTAATTGTTGCTAATGTTAATCATAAGTTTACATAAATAGTGTTTATTTTTTTATTATTTTGTGGTCTGTGGCTCCTTATTTAAGGTGAGTGCAGGTGCATCATGGGAGTGGAGCGGAGTCAAACCTCCTGTATGTTAAAGTTCCCCTTTTTGTATGTTTTGTATGTTCCAATTATGTGAATACTCAGTAAAGAGTTTTAACTTCACTTGGATCGCTTTCCGCAGATTCCTTCACTTTTGAGACATTTTAAAAGGTGGAACAAGGTGGGCAAAGCTTCAATTATGGCTCCACAAATGTTTGGACCTTACAGGAGCTGATGTTACTGTAAACATCATCACAATGAATGAAGAGTTGACACCTCTGATGGGTAGCTGCACTTCATGTAGCAGATTTTTTTCTTCATCTGTACCAAAATAACAACACAACACTGGTGAAAACAGGGATTGATTGGCAATATGGCATCTTGAAAATAAGTAATTAAAGATTAATCAAACATCACTCCACAAATCACCTCAAATACAACTTGAATAACGTGAATAAATGGTGAAGGGAAACATTTTGCATAATAGGTCTAGGGAATTCATATAAGTCATGGTATGGTCAGGGTTAATGTCCCAACAAAACATTGAAATCCAATGTATGTCTGTGTGTGAAAGAGAGGGACAGAGATGGAGAGAAAGAGGGAGAGAGAGAGGGAGGGAGGGAGAGTCATACAGAAGCTGTTTGTTAGGATGGATGAGAAGGAATCACTAAAGAGGTAACCTAGCAACAGGCTGCTGGAGGTCCTGGCTGGTCCTGTGTGTTTACCCATGGAAAAGACATAACATAGCGGCTGCATGCATAATTGCAAAGGTCTGCAAATGTGGATAGTACAGACACACGGGAAAGTTGTGTCAAAACTTGTGTACTATAACAGTGTTTTGTGCTGAATGTAATAGTTTTGACAGTTTAAACCAGAACTGTGACAAACGCAAATTCAGGAAAAAATTTGCCATACATACATTGCCATACTGTGATCATATGTCCTTATCTTTTGCTTACTGTGTATTAAAATAGTTTCTAATATTTAAAGGTGCACTGTGTAACTTTTGTAGTGGAGGGTCCATCACTTACTTCTCTCCATGGTGATATTGCCTGAAATGTTCCACAGTATTAGCCTGATTCATCAGCCAGTTTCACTTCGTGGAAACAGTCTGACCTCTTAGCATTACAATTTGTTTGCTCGATGGTAGATGAGTACTTTTTTTATTTAAATAACTGCTGCTATTTGGTCGTGACATATGTAATGCACCGCTAACGGGGCTAATTGGTATATTAAGCTAGTGATTCTCAACCACTGTGCCGCGGCACACTAGTGTGCCGTGAGAGATCGTCAGGTGTGCCGTGAGAAATTATCCAATATCACTTTTTTTTAAATAAATTTTTTTTAATTATTACCTGCAAATATTATGTCATTGTCGAGTGTCCGTGCTGTAGTACAGTGTAGTATATAATGACTGGCAGAGTGATCTTATATTCGTCCGGGTGGCGACAGGCAGCTAATTGCCTCGTTCCTTTAAATCAGGGGTGCTCAATACGTCGATCGCGATCTACCAGTCGATCGCCAAGGTCGTGTGGGTAAATCGCCGTGTCTCGTCTCGGACTCGCGTTTGGACTCGGTCTTGTCTCTCACTCAAGGTCTGACACTCAACAAGTGCGATCATATTTCATTACGGCCGCTGCTGTTGGTAATAAACTTGTACAGGTGTGCCAGAGCGTGTGGGGCGTCTCAGTGCAGCCCGCAGAGACTCTACGGCACATCACAAACACACACGCTCCCTACGCACGGCTCGTCTGCAACAGCGTGTGCCCTCGTGTACCAGCGTGCATCACAGGGCAGGTTAAACTTAACATCCTACCTGTCCATCTGCCTCACGTCAGCACGCCGCCCCTCACCTTTTCACGCTCTCGCTCCTTCCTACGTACAGCGAACACAAGCCCCTTCCACAGTGCGGCTGATTAGAAGAGCAACACGAAACGTGGAGCAAAAACGAGTCTAAATTTGTGTTACAGTGTTGGCACAAAGCAGGTCTACAGCAGAGAGCAGATCTACAGAACCGACCTACTGCCACAATTGGCTGAAGTTTGTCTAACAAATGCATCTGTGTTTGTCACGATGTGCGTTTGGTTTGGTAAACATGCAGAGGCTGGTAAATATCACTGCAAAACCAGAAAAGAATGAAACTCCAGTTTGGAACTTTAAAAAACAGGTTTAAAAATCTTCCTTCACTTTTTTCACAGTTTTGTGTAAAGTGCCAGAGGAAGTTCTCTTAAAGAAGGGGTTCTCAAACTGTGGGTGAGGGTCCAAAAAAGGGGCACAGAGTGTTTCAGTGTTTGGCTTTGTATTAGGTAGATCTTTATGACTTGATCATTTTGTAAGTAGCTCATATGCTGAAAAAGTGTGAGCACCCCTGCTTTAAAAGAATTAGTAACGCATGTGCATGGTGACAGTCATGGAAAAGTTTTTAAAACGGACGAATGCAAACTCCGAAATGGGCCCTGGACAAGATTCTGACCCAGAAGAGCTTTTCAAGCTTAACTGCTATAAAAACTAAAAACAGAGAGAGACTGAGAGCTGTTGATGAAGAGCTTCGTGTGTGTCTTTCTTCTATTCCTGCCAGGATATCAGCTTTGTGTTCATCTAAACAGGCGCAGGTCTCACACTGAGTAAGTAAAAATTAATGTAGAAATTATATTGTAATTAAATATACTGTATAGTGTCATTTTTGTAACATTTTGGTTAGTGGTGTGCCGTAAGATTTTTCCAATGTAAAAAACGTGCCGTGGCTCAAAAAAGGTTGAAAAACACTGTATTAAGCTTTTCCTAAATCCTGTAGGAAGAAGGGCAATAATGTCTTTCCCCTTGATAAAATTCACCTAACATTCTCATGCTCTGGTTTT